GTCCACAAATCATGACAGAAAGAATATTTTAGATGTTTAATAAGAATTCTAGGGGACTAGCCAATGGCTCATCAGGGAGAGTGGGGTAATTTTGAATGGCTACTACTGTACTAGCTTTTACACTGCAAAAAATGGAAATCTAAATGAGTCATTTTTGCTTAAATTAAGTACATTTTTTCTTGATTTGAGGAGGTAATTTAGATAATTTGCCAATGGAACAAGACAATTTACATTTAAAATAAGAAAAAAACAATTGCTTTGTCTTATGTCGAGTGCATATTATCTAATTATCTTGTTTTAGGAGTAGAAATACTCATTCCATTGGCATATTATCTTATTTAACTGCTAAAATTGAGGGTAAATACACTCAATTTAAGAAAGTTTTTTCTTAATTCTTGATGGTTTTTGTAGTGTAGGTGATAATCATCGGAAAAATACTAAGTGGGCTTGTTTTCGACCCCTTTCCCTGATATCCCTTTGTAAAACCCATCTTTATAAAAGAGTTAGCAGCAGAGGCAGAAAGGTCTATTACGGGGAATAGTCTAGAACTGTTTGCTTTCTGAGAAAACACCAGTGTTTTTAAAAAGAATTATCTGAAGACTGTATTAATAAAAATGTAAAAAATTATGTTATATTGGTTACATTATAGTCATCAATAATAATGTATACATTGTACATAATAAATTCTATGAGGAATGAATCTCAGACATTTTATCATTAAATGAAATACTTTTTGATGAACTACTTACTTTACTTTGTTCTCTCTAATACACAAAACTTCTAACAAAAGAGCATGGATTTTGTGTTTGTCACACATAAAAGTATCCATCATTAATTTTTTTATTTTGGCCTTCAGTTTGTAGCATACTTTTGTCATTCAAATTATAGAATAGAAGTTACTTCTCACCTGAAATGACAAAAACACTGCTACCTTTATGCATGTAATAAAGGCCAGTTACAACCAGTAGGAAATGCATCACAATATTCTTAACGTATTCAAAATATGCAGCTGTGATTCTTCTTCTCTCTTTTCATTTGTGCTGTTAAAAAAATAACACACATGTTTTTGTTTTTTCAATCTTACAAGCACTTTTGCAAGTGAAACTATTGTAGATGAATCTAAATCAGAGAGAAGATTAATAGTTCTGTGTGGATAAATGATAATCTACTCCACCTTTTTTTAACGCACTAACAACAGCAACTCTACTCCAACTCCTCTCCATGGCAACCGGATCCTGCAGTTGCTATGATTTGAAGCTAACAGATTATTGAAAATGTCTAAAAGGAATAAGGATCCTTGCTTCATATTCAATCCATGTTTGATAAGATTTCCATTAGGACCCTGGAATGTCCTTGCCTTTCCCCTGTGGCAAGGTTCTACTAGACCATCACCAATAGACGCTCTGCAATTAATCACTGCTGTGACTCTATGCGTTTAATCCAATAACTTCCATATATTGTTCTGTAAACACAGACCCAACTAGCTGTATGTCAGGACAATAAATGAAAGTCTGATTTCAGCTCAAATCATGGACAACAGTTAACTCTAAACACACTAGAATAACTTCACAACAACTTGCATCCAAAGTATGAGAATAAATAAGTAAAAATCATTCAACTCCACATCAAATTTCATATTTCAGTTAAAATCCCTGAATTAAGCTAATGAAACTCAATCACACCAAGTAGTAAGCACTAGTATGAAATAGTTCTGAAGTACTATGAACACACACAAAGAACTGCAAACAAGAAAGGTTGAAAACCATTATCAATAAAATAGAATGAAATCACAGTTCGGCATGAATTTAATATTTGAGAACCAACATTCATATTGAGGAGTTTGGACATTTCTAATGTTCAGGAAAGTTCCGTTTGGCCCAGGCTGTGTTCTTGGTTGGCTCTGTGCTGGATAGCCTAGCCAGATGGCTACTGTAGGTGTGTCCTTTGTTGGTCAATTTAGTTAATTGCTCTCTTGGATACATCCAAGTTATATCTGTACCTCAGAAAAGAATGTTGCCTATGGCGTTACATTTATGTCATAACCAACGTGAGCAAAATAAACGTACTTGCATGTATGTTAGACTACTTGTGCGCATGGTTTATCTACCGCCGCGCGAGAAACTGCTGCTTCAAGAGGAGAAAAGCTCTCCGTGCGCGCCAGCTCCTCTACGCGAGCTCGGAAGCTCTCCGCGCGCGGCAGCCCCTCCCACGTGCGCGTGGGATCTTCCTGCGCGCACAATTTTCTATCCAGCGGCCACGCTCGAAGACGGCTGCCCTCTTGAAAGCGTCTCTGCGCTCAGACAGATTTTCTCCTCGCGCGGAGGAAAAGTGGTTTTGACAGGTTGGGCGGAGACAACTGGAAGCCTCCTCCTGATTGGGCCTTGCAGACACGATCTCACAGGAAG